TTGATGTTGGTTTTAAAAAAACTATAATAAATCATCTTTAATCTCTCTTCATCTTAGAAAAATGCTACTCCCATCCTGGAATATACAGTGCATTATAAATTTCAAATTTTGTACTAAAATATAATGCATTCTACATGGTGTCAATGCTTAGATTTGGCAAAGTTTGTTAAAAAAAGGATACCATAATTTGAGAAGAAATATCTTAATTGGGGATCTTTGTTGAGTCAAATCTATGGGTTTGCACCATTTAAGGATTCCCTTAAGTTGTCTAATTTTTTTTGAATGCACTATATTACAGGACGGAGAAAGTAAATATCTAAATTGAAGGGACATTCTTCGTAGATCAACAATGCACATCACATATTTATTTTATTTAGCCACTTAACATTAGATAATCAAGAGAAGTCTTTGAGAAAAGTAATCTAACATTAGAAAAGTGAGAAGTAATAAAAAATAGTAGTTAAAACAATGCAACGTTAGTGTCTCCGCCCCTGCTAATAACTTAAAAATAAAAATTCGCATTCATGGCTTCTCAAAGCGTTGACTATTGCACGGACCGTGGTGGCAATGACCCCTAGCGAAGATACCCTCGCGGGGTCCCCAAAAGGATGAGCACAAAATTGTCCTGACTCTTGAGGAACCTGGCGGGGTCATTCACAGAGCCAAAATGGTTACATTCGGAGACCTTGAGGGCTCCACAAAGGACATTTTGCAAAGTCCAAGGACACCAGGTGTCGGAGGTGTCAGGAGTAGCGCAAGGCTCGAAGTCGTGCAGTGAACGACCGTCAACATAGGAAGTCAAAATTGGACTTGGACTCTTGTACTGGTATATTACGAAAGGACCAAAATGTCCCTACATGTTAGGAGTATCACTAGAATCTAGCTTTAGAGTAGGGCATTTTGGGTCCTTGCATTGTAATCTCGACACTATAAGTAGCGCCCCACAGGAATGAAGAGGACACAATATTCCATACTGAAAACAACAACTCCACCATTAAACAACAACTCCATAGTATTCCATATTCCATTTTGTCAACCAATTGTCTTAAACTTCGATCGAGGACAACATTTGGGATATCTCAATACAGGGACAACTACACGTGAACAACCCAAGACACTATGAAACGTCTCATGGATACTATAAGAACATTACAAAAAATATACCATGTATGGAACATGAACATTCGGGGAAAATTCAAAATACATCATAGAATATCTCCAAAATACTATAAAAACAATCATGAAACATCACATGAATAATATAATGATAACTGAAAATACACATCATAAATACTATGAGAATTGTCTTATTTTATTAGGGAAGAAATAGTTAAGTTAATATTATCGCAAAAAAATGCTACGAGACACACAACAAAAAGATAAAAATAAATAAATAATTAAATAACAACAATTAAATATGAAAAATAATGATAAAGGAAATAAAAATAGAAAGGAAAGAAAAAATAGAAAGAAACATGAAATAAAAAGAGAAAGCCACATAATTGATAAAAATAAAGAAGAATTGAACATCCTGTGTATACTATTTGAACAACCTAAAATACATAATAGGACATCTCATTGGTACAGCTTGAACAATCAAAAAACACATCATAGAAAATCTCATAAATACTATGTTAATGACCCATAATTAATCGTTTAATATGTCATGAGTACTACAAGAACATTATAAAATGCACCATGGATGGAACATGCATGAATATTGTTGGTATTTCTTAACGCATATAGAAATAATCTGTAAGCTCACGGAATTACTGTTGTAGCACTTCACCCAAAAGTATTCAGGGTATCGTATTTTCTATAGGGAACGAAGGTATTTCTTCTAGCTAGTTTGACCAAGGACAACACAAGGGTAGAGTTGGTGGAGGTTGAGATGTATTCCTATAGTTTATGGTCTAAGGATAGATAAACTCTACTATTACTCACTTACTTCGGGCACCGGCTATCACCTGGTCTGCTAAGCAATGCCGGCTACTCGGACGTGGGGGATTATAAGGAATGTACAGGGCTGTCACCACCTACCGCCTACCCCTCAACCATGGGACACAAGGCAAACAAAGGTAGCCTCTAGCCTAGACACCACGTCTACGCTATCGACTACTATTCTAGCGTCGTATAGGGTGATCTGTCTTTATCAGGAGCCATCTACTAGAGTATCCACCACGAGGACAGACGACGAACCCACAAACAAGTAAGAGTAAAGTTTAACTAATCAAAGACTTTATAACCAAAAGAACCACGAACACTTACTTAGCGGGAGAACCCAACGAAGTATAGCGTAGGTGTTTGTTGAGGTACAAGACGGGGAGACACCGACAAGTTCGGTGCTTCCCAAGCTCTCCCTCACATCTCTCCAACTACTTGCTCTAGATAGCTAGCTAGGGCCTAAGCCCATAGAATGTAATTCTTATTCTAAGTGAGGTAGCTCTTTCTCCTTGAGGTGTTGTTGAATGAGGAGGGGTGGCCTCCTTTTAAAGGTGGAGGGGGAAGGATACTAGGGAATATTCCTATTCCCTCATGGAAAGAGCAAACCACCCTCCACCGTATTAATTGCAGCGCCAAACCTCCTGAATCGACTTCCCTGGCCATTAATGCACTGCCCTGACAAGGTTGGGCTCGAGGCGAGGGTGCGGCCGCACCCTAGGTGGGCCACCTTGAGTCCAATTTTGGCAGGAGATATTATTTGTTCTTCTAGTGTGGACAAGTCGGTGTTTGACGCAGAGTTGAGTTGTTATGCTTCGGTTTTGTCTTGTTCCCCTCTTTGTCTAGGCCCTGATTTGTCTGGTAATGGGCCTGCTCCCCCTTAGGTCTTGTTTGGATGCATATGTATTCATCTCAATCCACATGTGTTGAAGTGGATTGGAGTGAAATTAAACTAAGTTCCATTCCAATCCACTCCAACACATATGGATTGAAGTGGATACACATGCATCTAAACAAGGCCTTAGGCTCATATTACTTTACACAATATTGTGTTATGCTTTGTTTCTATGCGCATTTTGAATGTATTTTCCATGTATTCTATAAATGTCCTCCTGCAAATGGTCAAACACCAAAACTTGTTGGAATTGTTTGTTCTAAATCCCTATGTTTAAGTTTGGTGTCTATATGCTAGGATTTTATGCGAGTGTTGATGGTTAATTATGTGAGTTAAGCACTGCCAACAAATACTTTAGGGGAAATCGAAATATGTCATGGAAAATGTAAGGAATAGTATGTGAACATCTCATGAATCTTATAATGAGAATTCAGAATATACCTCATAAATGTTACGAGAGCAGTCTTGAAGAAATAGTTCAAGTGAGTTTCACCCTAAGAACGTGGATACAAAAAAGGTATGAAAATATGTAGAAAAATAACTGATAACAATTAAATAGAAAATATAATCAATAAAAAATAAAAAAATATTCAGGAAAGGGAATCCGTTGCCGTTCCGCTCTCATTAGTTTTCTAACAAATTTTCTTGATTTGATCTTATTAAGTTTCTAAGAAATTTTTCTAATTCATTACCTATCATTAGTTTGTGGATATCATTGAGAGCATCGAGATTACTTATCATTATTTATGTTATCACCAAACATCAGTATCAGATATTCATATATCATGTATATATGTTTTATAATCGTAGCATACTACATCATGCAATTCTATCAACTATGATTCTATCATCCCGATCGCATGTGATTTACATAGCTTTGTTTTTAGAATTGTTCACTTTTTATGAAGAGAAGCGAATACATTGCTTCTATTCTTTTTTTTATAACAAAGACAATCATATTTGATATCTCTGATTAGAAAGCGTTGGCTAAAAAAGAGTTAGATAAATACTATTGTAGGTTTTTTATTTTCTTTCATGCCTCATTTTAAATTATCAGCATGGACGCGATCTCTCACCAATCACCCCCACGTGGAACTTCCCATATAAATCGACGCCCGCAAGCTGCCTCCATCCACCCGCACCAAGCCACACGTTCCAGCGCCGGCCCCCGGTACACTCTGATTCGACCAATGGACGCGACGCGACTCTTCCTTGGCGCGCTCCTCCTCCTCCCCGGCGCAATCCTCCTGCTCCGCGCGCGGGGCAGGCGCCGCCTCCCCACGGGCCGCCGGTCGCTGCCGCTGCTCGGCAGCGTGGTGTGGCTCACCAACTCGCCCGCCGAGACCGAGCCTATGCTGCGGCGCCTCTTCAAGCGTTACGGCCCCGTCGTGGCGCTCCGCATCGAGGCGCGTCTCTCCGTCTTCGTCGCCGACTGAGGCATCGCGCATGAGGCGCTCATCGACCATGGCGTAGCGCTGGTGGACCCACGCCAGCTACGGGCCCATTGTTGATTTAGCCTCTTGTAATCGTGACAGTTTGTATCAGCATGTTAGGTGCATTAGGTAGTTCAATTATGTTTTGAACACGTTTGTAATTCGCGTAGAATCGTGGGCAGGGGCAGAGACTGCCCGCCGTTGCGTCATGACCGCGTCTAGGGGGCTGACTCCGCCATGACATGCACGCCGTGCATGTCGCATGGGCGTCTGCAAATGACTGCACCGTCCAGCTGCAAGTGTTGGCGGGGATGTTAGGTCGAGCCCGTGTTTAATACAAGCAAATGCATCAGAAAAAAGCTTCGCCAGTTGCAGTGAAACTCTCTTCTCTCTCGCGTGTGTTCTCTCCTGTCTCGATGTCGTGTTCGCGGTGATCGCGCGCTGAGCTCCGCAGCGTGCCGGTAGGATCCTGGCTTCGGCGGTGATCGCCGGTCCCAACACTCTGGTATCGGAGCCGGTCTATGTTCTATAGCGGTTCCATTAGTCCACCATGATCACCGGCATTGAAGAAGTTCAAGGCGGTTCACAAGAAATTGGCGAAGAAGATGGGTGACAGCGCGTCAACGAGCACCATGTCCGGCGTCCATGAGAGCTCGTTAATGTGGCTGATGCTGGATTGCTGATCAAACTACACCGAGTGGGCGATGCTGATGCAGTGCAATCTCGAGGCGATGGAGATCTGGCACGTGATCGATCCAGGCACCAACGTCAAGCGATCGCAAGATCGACAAGCCGTGAGCGCGCTCTTGCGTTCAGTACCAAAGGACATGTGGCAGTCGCTCGGCGGCCGCAAGACGGTGAAGGAGGCATGGGAGACGGTCCAGACCATGCGTCTCAATGCCGATCGAGTGAAGGAGGTCAACGCCCAAAAGCTGCTGAAGGAATTTGAGAACATCGGATTCAAGAAGGGCGAGACGATCGACGACTTGGGCATGCGGATCACCAACCTCGTCGCCAACCTCAAGACGCTTGGTGAAACAGTAGATGATGCCCGCATGGTTAAGAAATTCTTGCACGTGGTACCTCCCCGTTTCAATCAAGTGGTGGTTTCCATCGAGATGTTCTGCGATGTGAAGAAGATGACGGTGGATGAGCTGGTGGGGCGTCTATGGGCGGCGCAGGACCGACTCGACAATAAGGTCGAGCAGATCATCGACAAGGCAGGGTGCCTTCTACTCGTGGAAGAGGACTGGCTTGAGAAACACAAGCACTGTTTCCATGTAGGTTCATAGGAGGGAGGTGGCGGTGCCAGTGGAAGCCACTCGAAGGGGAAGGCGGCAACGCGCTCAGATGGCGATGGCTTGGGAGCAGTCAAACTGACCTCCGTGGGCCCATTAGCAGCCTATTCTCGCGTGGCCGTGGCATTGTGCCGCACTCACCGTCCTCGTGTACTGTGCGCTTGCCTTCCTGTCGGCTCTCGATCCCACACCCTCGTCCCTGTACCAGACCCCTCCCTCCTTTTGCTTCTTTTGGGGACAAGGTCGCCCACATGCCTTCCCCACAGAGCGAATCCCCTCCCCTCTCTCCTATCCTCCCTCCGCTTGCTCGCGCAGGGAGCGCACCATGGCCGACTTTATTCCCACAGCATGAACCGTCAGTGTATCCCATCCATGCCATCTCCACTTCCGATGCGTTGCGCCCCACCTCCATTCACCACTATAAGATGCCCTTGATCCTTGCTCTTCTTCTTCATCCCCATCCCCCCTCTCATTCGAAGCATAGCTATGAGATCCAATCGTCATCCGAAGAACTAGGTCGTCAGTCAGAGGTGATGACGTAATTCGGGAAGAAGGGATTTGGATTTCTGGCAAGGAAGTTCAAGTCCCCTTTTGGTTAGTTTGGTCTCAGGGTTTACGATGTTAGACTTCTCAGTCTCCTGTTTCTGGATCTGTTGGACATACGCCATGGTTTGGATAATCATTTTCTTGTTGTTTATCCATTGTCCTCGTCTATCTCGACTTCTGGATTAAGCCTTGGTTGTACTAGGTTGCTCTTAACCATGTATCCCTAAATCCCCGTGTGGTTTAGTATTCAAAGTCGTGTAATCTTTCGTATAATTTCTGATCTACGAAGTGCAATCTTGTTGTTCCCTTTTTGGTTCTTGCTCCGAATCTTGGGGTGAGATTCTTTTTAAGGGGGGTTAGTTGTAACACTTCTGGTATTACGAGCTCGCTAAGCACTGAGATTATGGCCTGAGAGGTAGATCTATAAATATAGTGAGTTAGTTTACTTAAATGCGCTAATGAAATCCTAACAAGAAAATAGGAAAAGTAGTTTTAATTGTTTGGCACGAAAAGCAATTTCTATAAACAAGAATAAAACATAACTTGTATTTAGTAGTTAAATAAAAATTGAAGTACAAGTTTAGTAGATGGAAATACAACATTAACTTTTGGAAAATAGATGTTGTTAACTAGTGTTGTGGGAGCTCTAAAATCTAACTTGACGTTAAGATAAGCTCTTTTCGTTAAATCGACAAACACTTGAATTTATGTTTAAAGTACCATTTTGGGCAAATTATATTGAGCAAAATAGTTAAATAGTGCTTAAATACCTTGCTCCTATGAGTTAGTACGAAGTATGGACTAGGTCATGGTACAATTGTTAGTTGAATCCGGCAAGGTTTAGACCTTTTAAAAATTAAGGCAAACGCGCTAGTGGATGTTAGTTCAAAACAGAAATATATGATTTTCTAAGTATGGAAAGGTGGTAGACAATGCAATCTTGACATTTGATTTCTAACAGAAACGTTTAGACACTAGCCGCATGTTTTGGTATTGTTGATTGCATCTAAGTGAGCATTTGAGAATGGTATAGGTCGTAGTGGTGTTGGGTTTTATGTTGCTCTCTTTAAAATTGCTCGAACTTCATAAGAACGCGCTGTGAACTATGTGGTTGGTGCTCTATTCGCGAACCGACGTTTCCACAACAAACTGATCTTGGCACTTGTTGATCTTCCTCCTCAGCGGCTCGTTGATCATAACCATGGTTTCGCTAGGAACTGGGTAGTGTGAACTATGGATGGGGTGAGCGGTTGAGCCTTAGGTGGGGTAATTAGTCATTTTGGTTGAGCTTTAAATTTCATGCATGTTGCTGTTTCGGCCGTTGGGTTTCCGTGGTCGTGGTCACCACATGAGCATGGCGCCACTGCTGCCCGGCCGCTCCTGGCTGTGGCCGCTGCTCCACTGGCCAACTCACTGGCAGCTGGCCGCACATCGAGCCGAGGTGGGTCGCGCTCATCTCCATGGGACCGGGCTGGGGTCGCTGCTGGCAAGGCCATGAGCGGGCCGAGCCGACGCCGTGGCAGCCGCCGTTTAGCCGACATGGCACTCGTTCCGCCGCTCGAACCACCTATGCGCCGAGATGTTGCCTGCTTCCGTAGTCACATCGCGCTTACGACCTGGTCACGATGTCACTGCCCTCTCTCGTGTCGTGTTGTGCCTTGGCTCCACATGACAGCTTAGCGTGTGGCCTCTATTTCGCTGTCGCCGATCGAGTCTGCCTAGACGAGCCGTCCCATCACGGTACCTCAAGACTGCTCCCTCCGAGTCACACCGCACGCATGTCCTCAGGTATTTATCGCGGCGTCGACCAGGGCTGGCCGAGCCACGTATTGTCATCGTCGCCTGCCTTGCCACCATTGGAGCCATGCTGTTTTCATGATTTCACACCGTCCATAGCCACCCTCTGCTTCAGCACTCCAGCAAATAGACATAGCAACCAGCTAGCAATCCGACCCCCTTCCTAATGCTGGCAAGCCCTACCGGCTAGCAATTTGGTGCTTCGCTCACCGCGGGCCATGAGCGCCGCCGTAGTCGATAAGAGGTAGGTAAGGCCCGAGGGTTCAATTGCTTGCGATCCCTAACTCGGTTTGACTTCCCCTATTTGGTGCTCGTGTTATTATGGCCAGAGCATTCGTCGATGGTATGGTGACATGCTAGTGTCTGCAGCGGAGCACCGCCATCCCGCTCGGTCACACGTGGCCCAACCACCACCGCGTTTCCCTGCTTCAATCTCTAGAGCAGCGGACACCATGGGGAGCCACTAATACTCATCCATCTTTTGTACTCCGCGGAACACGCGTAGTTTCGTTGAAATAGGCTCGCCGCCGACGCGGATCGCCGCCCACCGTGGCAGACCACGATAGGGCATCGTCGAGTGCCCAACCGCCGCCCATCATTGCGGGTTTAGTCATAGATGGTGGTCGATCCTTTAGTGCGGTCGTAGTAGGTCTAGCATGTTCAGCGTAACCGCTATCGCCGCCGGTGTGCCGCGCCGCCACGCGAGGGCGCGCCGAGGACTGCCCCGTTGTGAAGGCAACACATTCCAGGGACTTTAATACAAAATGTGAGTCTGCAGTAATAGTGCTCTGTTGCTCTGTCTGATTATCCTAAAAACTGAGTTCTCTTTTGCAAAGTGCCGCCCGCGCGGACTTCCCCCGCCTTGGGCCGTATTGGGCCACCGTGGAGCGCACGCGCCCGCGCCCCGTGCTGGGCCGGCAGGCCAGATGGGTTAAGGTTGGACCTTTTCTTTTTCCAAGTACTTGCTAATTTAGTTTCTAAGCCAAACTTGTAAATTCAATACCAATTTATGTAGCTAACCAAAAATTATGAAACTTATTTAGTTAGGTTCCTAAAATCATGATCTATCTTATAGCGTATTTTATTCACATAGTTTCATAGAATTTTCAAGAGTAGACTAATTAATTTGAAGCACTTAAAATGGGTAAAACATGAACTTGTAGGAATTATTGTAATGAATTGGTAGTAGTACTGGCCCTAAACTTTTTACAGTAGATTCCTAACAATATTAGGTGCTCACTGTAATTTTTGTAGCTCCATACGAATTAGTTTGTTAAGGTAACTAAATGAGCCCTAGTACAAAAACATATATTTAATCAGTCAAATGTCAAAAATAATTGGGGGTTTGTAGAACGAAAACATTTTTCGGAACAAGCCTTACTTGGTGACTTGGATACGTAGACTAGTACGTTAGTCATTAAGCTAGCTCATTAGCTCGCGGAGCATAATCATATTATAGAGTTGCAGTTACCATTGATTAATTGAGTCTCTGCATTGCATCCATGTATATCATAATAGGGACAAACGATGGATCGTGAAGATGACCGAAGTAGCGAAAAAGATGGTGCCTGATGATCGTGTCACCACGATGGAATGCTAACTTTTGGTTATATCTTTCCTAGGCAAGCCCCGATGCATAACCCCTATTATATTGCACTTTATTTTATGAGTGTGCTTTAAGTTTAAGGAGTTGAATGAAACCCACTTTCATATATATATCCTATCCTATGAGTCTTACTAGTATGACATGATCGTGTAGACTGCTATGCTACATGACTCCGGTAGAAGTCGAGTGATTGCCTATCACTCGCGAGAGATATAAAAGATATTATTGTTGTTATTATATTACTATCACATGGAATATATATAAATGATAATTAGAGACCGGGCGGAATGGTATTTTGGATCTGGACTTGGTTAGGCATTCGAGCGAGGCTCGGATTGCACTTGTTCCGCCTGTGTTGGTTAAGGACCGGCCGTTGCATTGGATTCTAGTCAGGTCACAGACTTATTATCCTGAGCACATACTTGTTTATGGGAGCAGGGAAGGCTCGTTGCTCTCTTGTCGTGGGTTCTAGCTCTTTCTGGACCGACTGATTGGAGGCGGGAATGGTGGAGGTCTAAGTACCACACTGAGTTCGAGACTCAGGTTTGGGGGCTTGGAGTCCAAGTTTGGACATGGACCTAGATCCCTTGACAGGAGAGTGGTGGGTTGGTCCTGCTTGTGCCTGGGGTACAAGCGGGGCATGTATTTCGGGGTATCCAGCTGGGCTACATTGATTCATTAATCGTCACGAAATGCGGTACGACTTGTCTACAATCTAGCACCGTAGAAAGAACTAGATTATGAAAGATGGTAAAACTGGTTCTGATTGCTTACCACCCATTTGAAAGTAGCACAGGTGCTTACGTAGAATGGTTAGCTAATGAACTAATGATGACTACTAATGAAATTGAATATAAGGACGCACGCTTAGTAATACTTCCTACAGATGCAATAACCCACAAGCCAGATAGCCTTGCATATCCTTGGAGTCTTTTCTTTCCTCCTGACGGGTAAGTCTTGCGGAGTACAATTGATTACTCAGGGTTTGCTCTACCCTATTGTAGGTGATAGGAACATGTGGAGCTGACACTTGTGTGTGGAAACC